GATTCAGAGTTTTATCATGAAGTAAGTGAGTGAAATCATCTTCCTGGAACCTGTGGTCATTTTGGCTTTGGATGGTGGTAAAACTAAGAGTTCTTCATAGAATTCTGGTAAAGGTCATACTTGAGGGCTTTCTTTGTGTGAGATGGAGTGTGCCCCCGGGGCAGATCACAACAGGGGTTGCCTGAGGGACCAGCCATTCCTGTTATGAGGAGCGGTTTTGGTTCTTTGTGTAAATGTCCTATTCTTGTAAATTGGACTAATAGTTTTGATTAAAACAGTCTTCTCTTCCAGCTATGTAGCTGAAGTTCAGTGACCTGTTTTTTCTGTTCCTGGGTCTTTCCTGGGATGCCATTGCCAGTTATGTTGAGTTGTGTGGTGGCTTTGTCATGTGGAAAAATTCAGAATTTCACACTACGTCTCAAAAGGAGAAAGGATAATTCACTAAACTCCCTTACCACTTCTCTGTCCCCTGCACTCTAAAAACTAAACCGAAACTGCAGCTCTGAGCAATGGGCTTTCTCCCAAATGGCTCTGAGGAGGAGGAAGGCTTTTAGACTTTTAAAAAATGTTTCCTGCAATTCATTTTCCAGTTACTCTTTTCAGCTTCAGTGAATGAAACCGTGACTTCCTCCTTCCAATCCTTTGTGCTCTGTGTGATGCTGCTGTAGTGGCAGCAGTCTTCCCATTCAGTTTCCAGCTCCTGTGTTTTATCTGAGGTTTACTTCAGCACTTGGCAGCTTTCTCTGGGTTTTTCAGTGACGGGAGTTCCAGGAGTGTGGTGTTTTCTGGCTTACAGCATTATGCCTTCAGTGGCTTTGCTAGGGCTGATTTTAGATGCTTCGTGTGTTCTACGTTTTGTTTTGGATCAATCCTGAATTGTTTGCTTTTTTGCAGATGTGGATTCAAAGCTGTCTCAAAGGTCACACACAGTTATGAGACCTGTTAGAAAGCTCTAAATGTATGTGGTTGTTACAAATCAGACTGGCCTCTTTAATGCAGCTGTGAGCTACACTGACTAGAACCCAGCCTAGGGGAGAGCACAGGGTGGTGGGTTCAAGTCCTGGGAGCTGCTGGACAGCCAACACAGACTGCTCCAGGGATGGACCAGGCTCCTGCATTAGGAAGGCAGGATAAGGGACTCCCCAAAGGCGGGGGGGTGGACCCTGGAGTGGCCTGGGGCAGTGCCTCTCAACCGTAGGGGCACCCAAGAGAAGTCTGGGCGGGCAGTACATCAACACAACTGAAATGAAGCTGCCATTTGTGTAAACAGGGTCGAGGAGTGCTTTGTCCCGGACTTGGCTGTGAGAGAGCTTTAGGAGCATAGAGAGAGCCTTAGGAGTGGAGTGTGTGTGTGTGTATGGGGGTCCTAGGAGTTAACACCTGCCATTTGTAACTCTAGCTTCTCTTTCTGCCCTCCGTGCCACTGCATGTCTGCTCCACTGCCTTTCAGGCAGCCTCTCCTCTGTGGGATCCAGGGGTCACTGACAAGCTTTAACTTGGCCCTGCTGTGACTGACCTACGTGAAAGGCGTAGTCTTGTTGTCCGTGAGCTGTGTGATGTGCAGGCCCCTCTTCATAGACTTAGACTCTAAGGCCAGATTGGACCATCAGAGTCATCTAGGCCGACTTCCCGCAGATTGCAGGACAAGGGCGACCAGATGGCAAATGTGAAAAATCACCAAGGAGGTGGGGGCAATAGGCACCTATATAAGAAAAAACCCAAATATCAGGGCTGTCCCTGTAAAATCGGGACATCTGGTCACCCTACACAGACCCTCACCCACCTCTGTCATAGACCCCCACCTCTGGCTGAGTTACTTTCAGTATGATTTAAAGACTTCAACTTACAGAGAATCCACTCTTTATACTAAGGATGTAAAAGACTAGTCGACTATCCAATAAGTATTTTGACTAGTCGATCTCTCCCCACCCCCTTTGGTGCCTCTATATAAGATAGAGGCAGCAAAATGGGGGGAAGGGGTACTTCAAAGTGGTACCCCTGATCTCAGCTGTGCGGCGGCTGCCCCTTTGAAACTGCCGTCTCTGCGCCTTTCAAAGGCTCAGTGGAGCCCGGGGTCAGCTGGGGACTCCCCAGTCTGACCTTCCTCACCCGAAATACGGTGATCAGTGATGGGCAACCTGGGCTAGTAAGTGGGCTGTATGAGTATCCCTCCTTCGTCTCGGCGAGCTGCAAGATTGTCGCAACCAAAATGGTGTCCTGGGAGAGGCTAGTTTCTAGGTACGCAAGCGCAGTTAGCAAAAATGCTGGGTGTGCCGATTGAACTGTAGCAGTCTGGGATTCAATGCAGCTCTCCCAGTCAATGTTGTGTGTAGTCAGCACCACCTTGCTTCACGTGGCCTGGCTTTCCGTGTGTGTCACTTGCATAGCACCGGTAAGAAAAAAAACCTACGTGGGTGGAACTGTGGAATCTGGCAGCCCTGCGTGTGGGCAACAGTAACAAAATGTCTCCTGGGCCTGAAGTTGCCTTCCGCTGAGTTAGACCCTGAGCATGTGGGCACGAGCAGCCAGCCCAAACCGCTGGGAAAGACTCTCTGGTAACTCGGAGCCCTCCGCGTCCTGGCCTGTGGAGAGGTTTGCTGTTGGCAACGTCCTCATGCCATCACCCCCATAAAATGACCACGCTCGTTATTGAAGCCAGTTCAAACTGACCATCAACAAGTCCCGGCTGAAAATCAGCCGAAGATTTCGACCCATCAGAGGAACAAATTCTGGAACAGCCTTCCAAAGGCAGCAGGGGAAACAGAAACCGAACTGCAGGACAATGTAGCACTTTAAAGACTAACAAGATGGTTTATTAGATGATGAGCTTTCGTGGGCCAGACCCACCTTTTTGATCTGAGGAAGTGGGTCTGGCCCACGAAAGCTCATCATCTAATAAACCATCTTGTTAGTCTTTAAAGTGCTACATTGTCCTGCAGTTCGGTTTCTGTTTCCCCTGCTGCCTTTGGAAGGCTGTTCCAGAATTTGTTCCTCTGATGGGTCGAAATCTTCGGCTGATTTTCAGCCGGGACTTGTTGATGGTCAGTTTGTCCTTGTGCCCCATTGGCGTTTAATGTGAGCGGCTCCTCCCCCTCCTCTGGTATTTATTCTCCTGATGTGTTTATGGAGAGCAACCCTGCCTCCCCTGAGCCTTCCTTTGGTCAGGCTAAGCAAGCCATGCTCAGAGGTAAGCTTTCCCGCCCACAGATCACCCTAGGAGCCTTCTCTGCATCCGTTCCAGTCTGAATCAATCTTTCTTACACCTGTGGCCAGAATAGCTATTGCAGATGAGGTCTTGTCAGTGCCTTGGAGAACACCACTGATGCTTCCCTGTCTTCTGGCAATGCCTCGCCTGGTGCCCCCTTTGAATTGCTTTGTAGAAACTGCAGAATTCCTCCATCTGTCTCTTTCCTTTGCCAGATCCTCATGGCTGCTGCTGGCCCCTTTGCTCACCCCTGCTGCTGCTCAAGTCACAGCCCCATCGTTCTGCTTGTGTCCGGAGGGGGTGCACAAGTTCCAGTGGATCAGGAACCTGGTTCCAGAGTTTGGGGTCTCCAGCTCTCACATCCGGGTGCTGTCATCCCCGACTGAATTCTACGAGCTCATGAAGGTGGGTGTGTGCTTCCAGCATGCCTGGGCCTGGGCAGTGGTGGCAGCTGTTAATGCAGCTGGTGTGCAGGTTCCGGGATGTTTCGCCTGAGGCATGCCACGGGGCTGGTGTGAGGATTTCTTCCTCCCATGTGACTGTTTGTATCTTGTGTCAGTTCACATGAGCAGCCCTACATTTCAGAAAGGCTCAAATGTAATTACAGTGTTCAGGTTGCTTTATGACCTGTGTCTCCAGGGCTGTGAAAGGGATTGGTGTTGTCTGCAGAACCAGGCGTGTTAATGAAATCCCAGCTCAGCCTGTGAACTGCTCCTGTTTTCCTCTTCCACTCTCCTCAGGATCAGATAAAGGCAGCCAAGCAGCGAGTAGTGATGGCTTCGCTGTACCTCGGCACAGGACTCCTGGAGCAGGAGCTGGTAAGCGTGGGTGGACTTGGGGAGCTCTGAACAGATAGGTGCCCCATGGCTCTAGCTGGAGCAGGCAGTCCATGGGAGCACCTGGACTCCGGCTTTCCCTGTTCTCCTCTCGCTTGGGAGCCTTTCAGCCTGGCTCCCGACTGCACGTGGGGCTTGGCATGCCGAGAGACGGGGAATGTGCTCTGAGGAGCACACAGCCCATGGGTCCGGATGGGTAATGGGATTACATTATCTGCAGGGTTCCTGCACATTATCTCCTGTGTGGTGGTTGATACTCACACATGCACTGGCCTTGGAGGTTTAGTGAGGTTAATGCGGTGGTCCACTGTGATTGCATCTAGGGGCCATGAGCATGGTCTGTGTTGGGGATGTTAAAACGCATGTAATTAAGTAACCATGTAGTGGTGATATGGGAAGCGGGAGGGGGGGGGAAGGAAGGGTTCCATGGGAGCTGGTGTGTGCAGGGAGATGGCTTTTAAGCCGACTCCCCGTTCGTACCGGGAGCCTGCCTGTAACTGTGAACATTAAGTGATGCATCCAGGCTCACTGGTTAACTATCCATGCACACGCTTGCACTTTCACATCCCTAGTCTGTGCATACAGCTCTTGTCAGCCCGTCACGGTGAGGGCAAGGTCACTGTTCTGCCTCAGGTTTCTGTACCTTCTCCCTGCCTTTCCCCGCTAGAAACAAAGAGCTCAGAAGCCCTGAAATCATTCCGCAGCTCGGAACACAAGTTCCACTGTGAGGACGAATCCAGCAGGGGGGCAGGTTACCATGGACGTTGATTCGTTTGTCTTTCCTGGGGACTTGTAACTGATCTTAGACGTCAGTGTGCTCCGAATGAAGCAGGGCAGGCTCTGCAGCTCCTGGGTCCCGTTCTCCCCCACCCCCCCAGATGCAGTGGAAGATTCTCATCTAGGAATGGGGTTGGGGGACTCTGTGTGTGCAGGCAGATTCTATATTCTGCTTCTGTTTGTGCCCCGACATTAACGGTGCTTTGTATAAATAGACACAAAAGGGGCGGGCTCCAAATTTGAAAGGCTGCTCAGTGGAAGAGACTCCTGGGACGCGTGCAGCTTTGCCAGCAGCTGGCTCCAAGCTCGCAACCCAGAGTGGGGCTCCACGGACTCTGGGGATGTGCACTGTGCTCTTCCCACTCAGGTGGATTGTATTGAAGAAGCACTGGAGAGGTCACTGCAGGCAAGTGGGTCCTCTGACTTCCGAGTCTCCATCCTCCTGGATTTCACCAGGGGATCTCGAGGTAGGTGTTACGTGTGTCCCTCCTCCTGCCCGCTGCCACGGCTCGATCGCAGCAAGCAAGCTGCTCTCTAGCACCGGCTCTGTTCTGCTGTGACCCACAGTGCGTGACAACGACGTCACGCTGTATTCCAGGTTACCTTCCCCACAGAGCTTTAAAACTTCAGAAAATGAATGGGGGGAGCGTTCAAAATCCTGCCCAGGCAAACTCGCCAACTCCTGGGCCTGTCAGTGGCATTCACTTCACTGTGCTGCTGCTGCTGCTGCTTCACCTTGTAGAGGAGGGTTGGTGTTGGCAGAAGTGGCGCTGGGATGAAGTCTAACTCCTGTTCTGTAGCATGACTGCGAGGTAGCTTACAAAGCCCGCTCACCAGTGGCCTTATCATGGTGTACTCAGCATTGCAAGGTTAATCTAGAATAGAAGGAAGAAACTCTAGGGAAGGCAAGTTGTGTGTCTGTTTTGCCCTGTGGTTGGGGTCCTGGCTGGCAGATCTGGTGGTGTGATAGACGTGGGGCTCCTTGTATAACTATTCCCGTCTGTCTCCAAGGCACGACAAACTCTCGAACCATGTTACTTCCACTGCTAAGAAGGTTTCCAGAGCAAGTCCGTGTATCCCTCTTCCACACTCCAAATCTGCGTGGGCTGCTCAAACTCCTAATGCCCGAGCGTTTCAACGAAACCATCGGGCTGCAGCACATCAAGGTTTACCTCTTTGATGACAACGTGATCCTGAGCGGGTGAGTCCTGCCTCTGCATCCTTGTGCCCCATGTGGGTGAGAGGCGTCCAGTGTCCCAACTAGAGCGACAGAGGGCGGGCTGGCCATATGGTAAAGCAGCAGCACAGTTAAAGCTGGAAACACATCATCTTAGTCTTGAGTCAGCGCATGGAAGCTGCTCACTGTAGTGAACGCCACCAGGGTGCTACAGCTGCCGCAGGATCCAGAGGGACACCTCTCAGCTGCTGCGCGCCTGTTCCCCGTTAGCAGCACAGAGTCAGGGAGCTGCGTGGTGAGCAGCTTGGGATGGCCATCTTGTTCTTTGTACAGCACCTAGCAGAATGGCATCCAGGCCTGTGCCTAGGCTCCTAGCGGCTAAGGCAGGAGTGGGCCAGATCTGGTCCGCCAAGCGGATTGATCCAGGCCCTGCCGCTCCCCAGGCCAATTAGGGCCTGGAGACGGGAGAGCACACGAAGCTTCCTCCCGCCCTGTGAGCAGCACGCAGCGCTTTGACGTGCCGCTCTCAGGGCGGGAGGAGACCTCACGCATCCCCGCCCCCAAGCCCTGATTGGCCTGGGGGCAGGAGGAGCGTGCGAAGTTTCCTCTGCCCTGCGAGGAGCGCTGTAGGCTCGCACGGGGCAGGAGGAGGCTTTGCACATGTCCCCCGCCCCCAGGCCCATCAGTGTGACGTCTCCTCCCTTGTGAGCAGCTTGTGGCACTTTGAAGTGCTGCGTGCGGCTCTCAGGGTGGGAGGAGGCTTCGCGCACTCCCCCGGCCAGTCAGGGCTTGGGGGCGGGGGAGCGTGTAAAGCCTCTTCCCACCCTGACAGGGGCAGGGGTGCCTAGTGGGAAGGGGGGGCAAAGGGGCTCCCCCCACCCCTAGACCAATTATGGTCTGGGGGTGGAGAAGCCCAGAAACATTCTGGCCCCACCCCTTCAGGATTAGGCCCCGCCCCTTCAGGAGCAGCCCGGGGCCACTTCAGACATTTTTGAAGTGGCCCCCAGCCAAAAATGATTGCCCACCCCTGGGCTAAGGTGACATGAATATCACTCTTGCTGGGGTGCTCTTTCCAATGTGAAGTCAAGGCGTTTTGGCTTGGGATTCTTCACGCTGCTCAGGCTTGCGCAGCGAGCGAGGCGGCAAGGATCATGGCTGTGCTCTTCACCCGGCATTCTTACCCTCCTCTCTTCCCCAGTGCAAACTTGAGTGACTCCTACTTCGCCGATCGTCAGGACCGCTATGTGTTCCTACAGGACTCTCCCGAGATCGCCGAGTTCTTCACCCAGCTGGTGGATGCCATTGGAGACGTGTCGCTGCAGCTACAGCAAGATGATACAGTGCAAATGATGGAGGGGATGGTGCATCCGTACCAAGGTACGAGGGAGCCGCTGTATCTGTAACGTCAAGGCGCTGTGGTCCAGGTGAAGGAGGGAGCGGGAGAGGGTGGGTCTGACTCAATACTCTGGGGTCTCTGAAGGGCTGATGTGGATCAGCTGCGTGTGGGGAATCCCCTTCCCTCTCAGCGATCACAAAATGAAGGTCACGCTGCCTTGCCCAGTGGTCTGTCTGGTGGCTTGTCCCCAAGAGCGGCCAGCACTGGCTGCTCCCGAGGAAGGTGCAGGGAACCGCAGAGGGGCGTTGTAGAGGATGCATTTCTTCCAAGCCGTGCCAGCAAGGCCCTGCAGCAAGAGGAATTGGATCCTTTCTGCGACTGGAGCTATCTTAATAGAATCCCCTCTGTATATTCTGAGGGGTGTTTGCAGGGCGGTCCCTGGGGAGTGTGGGGCTTGAGGCATGCTCTGCCCCCTTTCCCAAACCGCACTCCTGTTTGCCCCCATTGCACCCCTTATCCAAAGCCCCTTCCCCTGAGCAATGCGAGCTGGCGGATTGGGGGCCCTGACATGGGGCAGCAGCAGGGGCACTCCCCCCTAGCACTCACTGTGGCAGCGCGAGCTGGAGCAACCCTACAGCCTGCTCCACTGTACTGCCCATGTCTCGGCCCTCTGCTTCACCATGGTGACGACAGGATGGCTTTAGGGTGCCTGGCTCCATCTGCTTTTGTTGAAGTGTTCTTGGCGTTCAGATAAGTGCCCAGTGGAAAGGAGAGACGTTCAAATGTTTTATTCGGTTTCAGCTATTACATGGTCACGTGCCGGAGCACAGTCCCTGATACGGAGGCAGCAGCATGGTGGTGACAGTGGTGGGGCTACATGTAACCGTGCCCGTTAACCAGGGAGTGCAGGCTTGTTGGTTGTCCGTGTAAATGATTACTCTTTCACATCCCTTGTAGAAAGGCGGCAGGGACCTGTGGTGGAGGAGTGGGCAGTCCGGAGGGGAGAGCATTGCAGGAGACGTGGGGTGTGTGTAATGCATGATGTATTGTCCAGAGCAGTGCACCCCCATGTTTTCTGGAAGCAGTGCCAACTCCTCCTAGGAGGCTCACAGGGTTGTTGCTACCTTCCATGAGGAAGCTAAATTGAAGAACTGCCAACTAACAAAGCTGCTTCCTGGCAGCAGGGTGGCTGAAATTTCAGTGCCATTCTGCTGTGGGGCTCCCAAGCCAAGTGTAATACAATCAGGAGGCTCCAGTGAGCAATGACAATCCTGCAGGCTGATCTTGTGTGGGATAATCCTGGAGGCAAACATGCCTGAAAGAGCCCAGCCCTTCTCCGGTTTTAGCTGGGAGATTCTTTTTGGTGGGTAGCAAGCAAATATCTGTTTGCTGTTCCAATCGGCTCAACAGCCCTTTCCAGTAAGACTCCTTGGTGTGTTTGACATTCACACACCTCACGCCCTACTGAGAGTTGCCTAGACACAGCTCTTCCACTGGGAACCCTTGCTTACAATGGGCATAGGTTGCTTTAGTACTTGAGCTAGTTTGGTTCAGTCCTTTCGAGTGCTTTGGAACAATTATGTCAGTCTTAATCAGCTTGTTTCCCAGGAGGCTGGGACTAACCTTTGAGAGAAGCCTGAGGCCAGGTCTACATTAGACCCAGCAGTTCAGCTGAAGGTACACAACTCCAGCTACGTAGAATATGTAGGTAGAGTCGGCTTACCTTAAGCCGAGCTTAGCGCTGTCTCCAGAGTGGGAGGCCAAATGCTCCCCTGAGCTTCCCTTACTCTTCACAAGAGCAGGCTGCCGGGGGGGTGCCTTCTGAGTTGAGCTTAGCAGGCGGTCTTAACTAGACCCACTAAATCAAACTCCGGAAGATAGATCACGGCAGTGTTGTGTGAATACAAGGCTTAAGCCTTCTTCAGTGAATAGTCAATGTTAAAGGGCTCTGTTAAATGTTGTATGTTGCTCCCAGAACAGAGGTAGCAAAGGGTGTTTTCAGCTCATCTAACCCACCATGACTTGGAAAATGGACTAAATCTACTGAAAGAAGACAAAAAAGAAAGGCCCCTCTTGAACAAAGGTGGACTATCTCCTTACTTTGTAGCTCCGCTCCTGGGGAGATTCTGTGCCAAAAATTGAAAATTGTGCATATTTTTTGTCAAAATAATGTGGTATAATCCTACTGGTTTGAATTGTTTTGATTGATTTAAGTTACAGTACAGAAAAGTCATGAACTGCTCAGTAGGAACGTGAAAGTATAACCGTGTACACCGCTACCCGCAGGCTTCTGGTACACATGGGAGCCACTCCCCCCATGCTCCATATGAGAGGCAGCAGTGCAGGGGGACAGGTGAGAGCCAGTACACGTGGGGAGCTGGCTGCCACCCCGTGTCTGATCGCTCAGCAGTTGCATGGTTACTTAAACGCATGTTAACATCCCCACTATTCAGCATTTCCTAAACAATTGAAAGTTAAGTTACAAACACTTGGTAACCGAGACCCTTTGTTCCCATTATAAATCTGGATTTTCATTTAAATTCTATTCCAGAGCACCAAGCAGAGCTCAAACTTTCACACATGAATGTCGTACAGTTTTGCTAATTGTTGATCTAGTTGGGCACTTTGGGAAATGCATGGTTCTAATGTCTTGACTTTTATTGACGTACTGGTAAATGTTTATTTGCCCTCAGTCTTATTTTACTTGTCGTTACAAATAAACTGAGAGCCTCCACCCTTCTTGTGCTACTTTGGCACAGGAAGAAAGTGGTAAGGCACAAGACTTTTCTAGCTAAGGACTCCCTTACTGTCATTTCAAATAAGACTCCTTTTCTATCGCTCTAGCAGTGTAGGGGCCTTCAGATTTTCCCAGGTTTTAAGCTTCTGACTGAGAATGGGAACCGCTACCTAGCAATAGGCATGGCTACGTTTCTGCCTTCAACAGCAACTTGAACAGCTTTGTTAACCGTACGGTTTTGCATCCCTGCTGGGGTGCAGAATCTCTCCAGGAGGGAGACTCTCGTGGTAGCCCAGCTGTTGCTGCTCATTGTCGGGGTGCCTAAACTGGGCAGCGGGGTCAGTGGAAGTGACCCAGGGCTCACGCTCCCCTTGAGTTGTGTCTGCGGCTGTTTGTCCCAGCCCGCCGAGGTCTGGGAACGGCCCTCCTGCCGTGGCACTCTAGTGTGGCGAACGCGAGGTGCTGAATGAAATGAAAGGGAGGCTCTGCAATGAGCAGTCAGGCCTCTGGGTGAGAGTGACGTGGTTCCAATGGGGGACTGGAAGTGCTCTCGCAGTTCCTTCCTCTGAGTCAAAGCGCTGCCTCTAGCTAGTGGGATTCAGCAGAGAGGACGGTGGAACAAAGCCGCCATCAGAATGTGACCAGACGCATGAATCCACCATAGACTTGCTGAAGCTGAGCGTGTGTGTTCCCAGCAGGACACTGGAGATCCCTTTGTTACAACATTTCCTAGAAAGCTGCTGGAATCCCTAAAGGAAGCCCTAGTCTGATTGAGGGGATTGTTGTGCTCTGCAGTGACATTGTGGGGGGTGTAGTGTGTCTGTCTGCCCAAACAGGGCCCCGCGCTGCACTTTTGGGCAAACAGCACTTTCTAGGCACTCAGATACCACCCGGAGGGGTGCAGCGTGAGAACTAGGGGTGTAAAATCCCAGTTACTCAGTTAAACAGGATCCTCTGTGGGAGTACAGGGGCTGGTAGCAGGAACCGGCAGCCCAAACCATGGGAAGGGGCCAGCTTCAGCTCCTGACTCCCCTCCCCACGGGGAGGGGCCAGCTCTCAATCCCCACAAGGGTGGAGCAGCCTTCTGGCCGCGGGCAGGGGCTGCTCCTGGGTACCAGTTAATGGTGCCTGTGAAGCATCGCCCATTAAGGGTTAACCGGTTATCCATGCACATCCCTAGCAAGGACATAAGCAGGATAAGTCGGTGTCAGTTGAGTACTGTCCTGTGGGGCGAGCGTCTGCCCCTTGCCATTGATAGAGAATGTGTCTACAAAAGTAAACCAGCGGCTCTTAGTTCCTGCCCACATTTGCCATTCGCCAGCTTTTAAACTGGCTCCCGCCTCCTGTCATGTGCTGCTGCCTCTGATGTAGAGGCCACAGCACAGGGTGGCAGCCAGCTCCCAGGAGCGGGGTGGGAGCCTGCGAGTAAGCACGAACAGTAAGCGATAAGTCCAGGCTTATTGGTCGACTGTTTGCACGCATACGCGCTCCCATGCCTACTTTGGGTTGCTTCCATGCGCCCTGCCTGTGCGCAGTGTGTCTACGACATAGCTCCACATGGGCCACGCTCACAATTCAGGGGTTAGCCAGTTTGGCTTCTGGACATTACCCAAAGAGCCACTGTTTGATTGGCCGCAGTGCTATGCACTCCTACATGGCAGGAGAAACGTGGCTTTTTAATTATTCACAGCAAAATGACTGACCAAATATTATTATTTTATCGACTACAGTTAATATCATGGTAAAAGCATCCTGATTGGTTAATAATGAAATCACACCATGTTTTAATTAGGGAGATCAAATGTAGATTAATTGGCTAATCGAATAGTTGATGCAATTTGTATCAACTGTAAATTAGTCGATAAGGGCGCCCAGGCCTGTTGCTACACTTCAAAGGCAAAAGCGCTGCAGGAAGCACAGGGTAAGTGGGGGACTCAAGCAGTCCCCAGCTGCCCCTGTGCTCCCTGTGGCATTGCAAAGTGGCAGCGCCGCATAGAGCCTGGGGTGAGCGAGGGAGTCCTCCACTGGCCCAGGCGGCACGTGGTATTTCAAAGTGGCCACGCTGCATGGAGCCTGGGGTGAGCGAGGGAGTCCTCTGCTGGCCCAGGCGGCACGTGGTATTTCAAAGCGGCAGCGCTGCATGGAGCCTGGGGTGAGCGAGGGAGTCCTCCGCTGGCCCAGGCAGCACGTGGTATTTCAAAGCGGCAGCGCCGCATGGAACCCAGGGTCTGGCCCAGGCTCTACGTGGTGCTGCCGCTTTGAAGCACCCCCTGCTTTCTCCCCCGCTTGCTGCCTCTTTCTGATCGAGGCAGCGGGTGGGGGAAGCGACCGGTCGACTGGTGTGTCGACTGCCTGAGGAGCCTTTGCTTATGGGCTAATAGACTAGTTCACATCCCTAGATTTACTGTCGTGTGGGGCAAAGAGCAGCAGGAGACAGGAGAGAGCCTGTGGCAGCTCAGAGTATCCCTGCTCTGTGCCGGCTGCTAGTCATTGCGTGCTCTTCCGCAGGAGACAAAAGGGCATATTGTGAAGCGGCAAACAGGAGAGTCATGGAAGTGATCGGCTCTGCCAAGGCTCGACAAGAACTCCATGCCCAGACTGGCCACGGAGGGGAGGCGGAAGGAGATCCGCGGTTGCCCCAGCAAGACCCACCACCCAAACCAGACACCTGGATTTATCCGCTAATTCAAATGAAACCCTTTGGGATTCAAATCGATGAGCTGGTCACAGAGACGCTGCTGAGAGAAGCAGAAGGCGGCGCCAGAATATACCTCACCACTGGCTACTTCAACCTCACGCAAGCCTACATGGACCTTGTGCTGGGCGCCAGGGCGGAGTATCGCATTCTGCTGGCCTCCCCAGAGGTGAACGGCTTCTTTGGCGCCAAAGGGGTGGCAGGGGGCATTTCCGCCGCCCATGTTCACCTTTAGCCTCCGGTCTACCG